GGGGGGAGGCTGGGGCGGGGTAGGGAGAAACTATCTTAAGTTTTCATAAATTCAGTCTTAGGAGGAGCTGATTTACTTCTGTCAAACTCGACCCACCACCTTCTCCTTCCTGGCCTAAAGTTTGTGTGAACCAGTGAAAGTTTAACAAGTGAGTAAGTACAGAACAGAACAGCTTTTAGTTTCATGCTGGGTTTTTTAAAGGGACCAACTACAGCTCTGTAATAAATATATTGAGAAAAATTAATGAGTCACTACCCATGCAACAGGTACAGTCTATTATAAATAGCTCAGCGTTCACTCTCATGTCTGCTATAAAAGAGATTTTTTTTAAAATTTTATTTTAACCAGCAAATTGTTAGGTATAGCTCCTCAGTATATTCTATTACAGGCTCTATCACAGATTCCTTGTGCTCCAGCACATCACACAACCCTGTCACGCACTAAATACCCGTGTATCTACACTGAATAGTTACTCCACGATAATTCTGTCAAGCAGACAACACATCGCTTCCCTCCAGCATCCACAAGAACAGTCAGAAGCATACACACTCGATTATTCAATAAGTATACATGCCTGACTTAAGCATCCTTAAGTGTGGAAAAAGGGTCCTATTAATGTTGTTGCCAGGCAGGCAAAAGCATCTCCTTGCTACTGCTGTTCAGAGTCTGCTCCTTTTCCTGGTAACTTCATAAATGTCACGCAAAAACCCAAGTTGTCCGTCTTTATTGGTAGCCAGCAAGAAGTTGATTAGCTTAAAAACGCTAACATTTAAGGTTATCAGGACATAAAGAGGTACACTGCTTATGACAAATGTTATGGGCCCTGGACAGATACTTGCTGTAATTCTCATTCAGCATCAGTATAGGGAATCAGCTCGTTTACACTGACAATCAAAATCTAACACTTTGATAGACATCATTATTATATACTGAGAAGAGTGAAGTAACTGAGATAAAAGAACAAAAATGAAAAAATGTATGAGGTAAATTTGACATTTAATTAGAAATAAATAAAAATTAGGTTGACGCTAGTCAATTCTCTCCACTGTCGTAATTCCCAGTGAAAATACTGGTCTGCTCTTTGCATTCTCCAAAGCAGAGATTTGCCATAGTGAAGTTTTACTTCACAGGAGATTGTGCAGTGACACTGGAGCAGGCTTTGAGCTAGTTCTATCTTGGCAAAACGTTTTGCAAGATCTGTCATTTTTCCTTCCAGTTACAACATTGTGCCCACCAGAGCAGAACCTGCCTTTTTAATATAATGGAGTTGCATTATCAATATCACTTTTAAGCTATTAAATATTAGTTGCATTTAATATAAGCTGTATTTTTATGTATATAATTAGTTTTAGGTAGTCCT